CCCTCGAGGCGGGGCCCCGTCGCGCCTGCGATCCGATGGGCCAAAGACGTCTGGATCAGGCAAGCGCGCGCCACGGATTTTTGTTGCACTGGGCCGGGCTGCGCGACCTCTGGCATGGGGCCTTTGGGCGGAGCTGGACCTGGCGCGCGGTGTCGGGGCCCTTGGGGGCCATGGAACTTTCCTTGGCCAGGATCGGTTGGGGCACGCCCCCCCCCCCCCCCCTGTCACGGTCAGCGACCTCAAAGTCGAGCATTATATTGCCCCCCCCCCCCTCCTCAAGATTTGTTTGAGGGAGGAGGCGCGGGGGAATCTTGAGCGAGAGGCCGTGGGCAAGTTCTGCTCGGATAGCGTTCCCCGTTTGCGTGTTGATGTTGTTGCTCGTGCCCTTGGGTCCAAACTGTTGCAGTCTACGCTGCGCACTGAAGAAAGCCTTTTCCTCTCAACGGTTTCTTGGGCCGAAGGCTGCAGAACTAGCCTCTGGCCCGTTCTGCTACTTCTGCCCAAACTCTCATCATGCATCAACCTACGCCTGGGCTTTACCTCGCCTATGCATGTAAAGTGCCAGCGCGCCCCCTCGGCGCGCTGAAGCTGTGCGGAGGTCGTTCCGAACCGCAATCCGCAGCTTGAAATCTTCGCCACGCTGGCGCAGCCTGCTCAAGCCTTCACTGGATCTTCCTGAGGTCCTCACTCGCGTTCCTCCTCGCGTCGAGCTTCTCGTCGCTCGCCCACGCCCCCTCGGCCTGCGCTGGTGCCGGCAAGAACCGAGGCTGCTGGCGATGCCAAGCGTGCGTCGTCTGGCTCCGAGTCAGCACGTCCCGCTCGCTGCTCCTCCTCTTCTTGATGTTCGCCTTAATCTCCCCGACGGCCTCAAGGGATACCTCCTCGACGTTCTTGATCTTCATGACCTTAAACACGCAGTGGTAACCAATCACAACTCCGATCATCATCCAAACAATAAGAAGCCACATCCCCAACGAGCCGAAGCGCAAAAGTACCATCGCACTTGGTGTCCTTCATCAGCTCCAGCTCGTGGGAATTTCTTGCCCCCAACTCGTGTTTGCCGGCCCTCGTCTCGCTCAGTGGCATCGCCGCTGCAAGCAGCGCTCTCGGCCCTGCGTGGGAAACTGCGGCCCACTTGCCGCTGCCACTCATTGCGTCCTTCTTGCTGGTCTGCAGTTCGTCGCCATTCTCGAAACCCATTCCGCGTCGCGATCTCCACTCCAGGAACTCGGCGGGTTGGAATGCCTTCGTGTAGCCGTCCGTCAGCGATGTTGGTCGCAGCCGGCTCCTAGTGGACCATCACCTTCGTCTCCTCGTACTTGCTCTGAAGCCAAAACGACTTGGTCTCGACGTGCTTCAGTGATCCGCAACCTGTGCGCTAAACAATACCCTTGGCTGCCGTAGAATCCAATCGCAACTTGATTTCGACTGGGAGCCCTATAAATGTTTAAAGCCTCTGCATATGGATAGCCCTGGCGACCGAAGTGACCGCCGCATAACACTCACTCTCACCACTTGAAAGTGCCTGGCAACTCTGTCCTGTTGCGAACTCTCTCAGCGTAGTAGCACCAAACCTCAACGTGCACCCTGACGTTCTCTTGCGATCTCGGGTATCTCCTGTCCAGTCGGCGTCTGAGTACGTGTCCAAGTAGTCCTTGTCGTTGCCCCTGGTGACCAGGATGCCGTAGTCGTGGGTGCCCTTCAGGTACCTCGCGCATCTCGTCAATTTCTGCATGTCTGGGTCCCGTGGTGCACCCAGCGCCTTGCCCAACTCATGAACAGTAAATGGAATGTCAGGTCGTTGCTTCAGTAAGTGCCTCAAAATCCCTACACACTTGTCGGATGCCTTGCCATCTGAAGAATAAACAACCGGCAACTCCAGCTCCTCCTTCCGCCTCGCCTGTACTATCGGGGTCGGCACGGGATTGCAATCTGCGGGCCCCATCTCGGTCACGATGTCCTCGATGTACTTCTTCCTCGGGGCAATATGGATCACGTCCGTGCTGGTTCTTGTCCACGTAGCTCGTATATGCAAGTAAACTGAACCAACCACCATGATCTCTGCCTCCTTCAGCTTGAGAGCTGGCTTCATGTTCTCCTTCAACCACCTCAGCTCCGTGCCACTTCACGACGCGTAAATATCATCTGACGAACTTCAAGCACCAATGTTGAACCTGGCCTCCTGAAGATGCTCGGCTGCTCGGGGCACTGCTTGATGCCTAACTCGCTCGTCCTGTCAATCACGTACTGGTTGAACTTCTTGGAAGTCTTGCGCTTGCCATACAGCTGCTTCTTCATTTTCAACCACGGTCGCTTGCACAATCCGCCTCGAGCGCGGTATCTCTTGACCCACTCTGCAGGCGGATCCACGTAGACCTCCTCGTCCTCCTCCGCATGGAAGTAGGCGTTCTGAGCGTCTAAGACAATGGTGTTGTATCCGTGCTGCACCGCGTGCTGGTCGATGAGCCTTCCTGTGCTGCTCGTCGCTCCTGCAGTCAAC